CAAATTTGTTTTTTTAAAGGATTGAAAAAGAAGAAACTACCAGCGTAACACACCTGTGAGGTGTGGGTGTTGCTTAACGAACATTTGTTTATTGTGCGTGTGTGTTTCCCCATGTGTGTGCATGGGTGGTAAATCAGGTTACAAGGTAAATTTCTTATTTTGCCCAACTCTATAGAATGTTTGAAAAACACTGAAACAATAAAGGAACAGAATAGCACATAGGAATTTGGAATATGATTAGGGTGATATTTCAAAACTGTAGGAAAAAGGTGAACTATTCAGTAGAGGGTGTTGAGACCTTGGCTCTCTATATAAAAATAATAATTTAATAAAGTTAGTGACCTTTCACACACAGTACATAAAACTGTATTTCAAAAGGATTAAAAACTGAAGGGTAAAAAACTATGAAAATACTTCTGTAAAAATGATAGGAGAAAACAAAACAATGAAACTTCTTCACAATAAAAAACACCATGTAAATGTTTAAAGACAACTAGGAGACAACATTTGCAATTTCAATAAAAAGTATAAATTAGTATTTAAAATGTATAGCTGTCTCACATCAGTTTAAAAGTATATAAACACAACAGGAAAATGGATATGGGATATTAACAGACACACACACACACACACACACACATATATAAGTATGTCCAATTCCAAAACACAAATTAAAACAACAGTGCTACAGCTTTTAGCACTCATGCTGGCAAAGATGAAAGAGTTTAATAATACCAGGTGGTGCTGGTCAGGAACTAAGGAGGATGACAGTCAAATATGAGAGTGAGGGAAAAGGTAAACTGTTACTTTGGAGGGCAATTTGCAAGTATGTATTAAAATTAAAATGCAGGCGCCTGGGTGGCTCAGTGGTTGGGCATCTGCCTTCTGCTCGGGTCATGGTCCTAGGGTCCTGGAATCGAGCCCCACATTGGGCTCCCTGCTCTGCAGGTGGCCTGCTTCTTCCTCTCCCACTCCCCCTGCTTGTGTTCCCTCTCTCGCTGTGTCTCTCTCTGTCAAATAAATAAATAAAATCTTTTAAAAAATAAAATAAATAAAATGCACATAACTTCTAATTCAGCAATTCAACCCTGTGGCATTTATCTCCTAAAGGAACACACACAGTCATTCCCAGAGAGAGATACGTAGAAAGAAGTGTTCATTATTGAAGGTTTACAATAGAAAAAAATTTAAACAAACTAGGGCCCATTTAGAGGAAAATGTCTAAGAAAACTGGTATGTTTAACTGTGCACACAAGTAAAAGAAATAAGGTATGTCCATGTAATATGGCTAGATCTCAAGAATTAACACTGATTGACAATAAAAAATATTCAAAACAATACATTTGGGTTTAAACCACTAATATTAAAGAATACAAAACAATGTTACATAGTACTGTATGAACAGAGTATGGAAACTGTATGGAAAGAGTTCAGCTGAGACAGAAGTAGAGAGTGGTCAAAAGGGTTTTGACTTCCTCTGATAAATTGAGTTTTTATCCCCAGAAATTCTGTTTGGCTATTTTACAAGCATGCTTTATCTTTTTTTTTTTTTTTTGATAGCATAATATTCTTTTCTCTTTTAATATTTCTTTTATAACTCCACCTACTATTTCTGTAATCTGAAGTTCTGGACAATCCAATCCTACTGTTCCTTAGTTGACTCTCAGTCTTGGGGTCTACATCACTGTATTTTATATTTGGGAGCCAGTCCTCAGTCCAGATTCCATAGCCAGAGCAGGCAATGTGTCCTTCCATAAATGTTTTTCATTCGCTTTCCTGCAGAACCAGGGTCATGTTTATGTTCTTTCTCAGCTTGCAGGCTCCTGTATAATGCAGGTACTGTAAATTTGCAATCTAAATGTCATTGAGGGCAGGGCTTTGACTTTGGGAGTCTTTGTATTTGATTCAGAACAAGGCTAAAACCAGGAAGCCAACTTATCATGGCCTTGTGTTGATCCACTGTTGTTGCCCATCCCTCCCCTCCTCCCAAGTGGAGCCTTTTTCACAGTCTTTATAGCCTTCTGGGGGTTTTCAGTTTCAGTTTTCTGGAAAGATCAGCTTTCTGGGGATTTTGAGTTCCTGTTCCCCTCCTCGTCTAGATTCAAGGCCTTGTTCTTAGATCTGCGGCTCTTAGAACTCAAATGCCCTGTCGACAAACACAAGGAACACTAACATGACTTCAATTTGTATAGGCATGATGCCTGGTCACCCAGTCTTGGTTAGCAGAAATTGTCTTTATTTTTTGTATTTAGCTAAATATTTAAAAGAGTGTTTGCAATATTTTAAATTTTCTAGGTTTTCAGATTCTCTTACTATATATTACTACAAATAAAATGTTTCAATATTTTTAAAGATCAACTCACTTTTACTTATAAATTAAAAATGCTAAATACATATCAGAGAAACAAAAATAGTATTTCTCTGTGTGTGCCTTACAGAAGATGAAGATTTTGACTTAATTCTTAAAGACTGGGAAGATTTTGAACATAAGCAGCAGACAAGGGAAGGAATGGGATTATAACTGATCTGGTTCCCTATCCCACATCCCACTTATGCTAGGAGGTCCCATGACCTGCTACTTAGCACCATCATCTAACTTTTTGGTGAGATTCAATGTTAACAACCACTTTTTTTTTTTTTTTTTTGAGAGAGAGAGAGAGTGTGCACGCATGAACAGGAGAGCAGAGGGAGAGGGAAAGAGACAATCTTAAGCAGGCTCCATTCCCAGCACGGAGCTTGACACAGAGCTTGATCTCCAGGGACAACACAGAAATATATGCAATTCAAGTAAACAATAATACAACATGAAAACATTCCATTCATAAAGGAGGTTAAAAATCCTAGTGACAGCAATAAGAAGAAAGCCTATGGTTCCTAGTAAGCATAAATATATCTTCAGATTTAACTTCTATATTTCAGGAAGGCAGTTCCTAAGACCAAACTTTTTGATGGGAAGGCAAACAGAACAACCCACATGGAAATGCAAACCATGTCGACCACGGCTTGGAAATCCAGTCTTTCAAAAGGAATGTCAAATCTTTTCTTTTGTAAAATAAAAACAATCCAGACTTATCTAAGAAGAGATTTTATTCAAAAACCCTATTGCAATAAGGAAGATGCTCCAAGGATCTGTCTGCAAGCATCTCAACATCGAACAGAAACACTTTCCTCTTATAGGGAGGGGTAAGCAGGCTAGCAGGAACTTTTCAGAGGAAATGGGATAAACTAGTGGGGGGAAGCAGGATGCATGATCAGGCTGTGGTCAAGCGTTAGTGCTTGCTCAGACTTGGGGCAAAACAAAGTTCAGGGGCCTGGGAGGAAGAAAAAACGACTAACGTTTGATCAAGGTAAGGCAGAAGGTAACTACCAGACAACTCTGAACACTTGGTCTCTTCATAACAGCAAGAATACTGGTTTTAATAGTATTACAATAAAAGAGTAGTTAGGAGTTAAACCCTCCAAACAGGTTAAGTAAATAACAAACTAAAAAGTCCACTTTTTTTCTCTCTTCCTGGACACCTAACCCTTTCTTCCCCAGGGTCCTTCCTGGGTAAGTAAGGGGTATGTTGCCGCCAACATGACCCAGACAGTCAAAGGATTTGCAAACTTATGTTCTCATATGGATCTCTCTTCAAGAAAAATTTCATCTGACAGAGGAAATCAATAACTAGAACATGAAAACATGGCTTCAAAAATTATTTGAAAGGCAACACATTTACCAGTCAGTGTTATGTTATGACTCTCCAAGGAAAGGTTAGAATATTTTGTCATCATTTCTTCTTGGATGGGTAGAGTCGTAAGAGGTGAAGCTGTAAGAAAAAGAAAATGTGATTGCATATATTATCAAGATGAAATGACTACAAGCTAGTTTGAAGCAGCTAAAATGCTATATTGTATACGATTAATGAAAAATAAAATTAATTAAAAAAATAACATAGGAGTGTTGTAAGTGCTTTTTAAAAAAGTTTTTATTTATTTATTTGACAGAGAGAGAGAGAGAGAGAGAGAGCATGAACAGAGGGAGAGGCAGAGGGAAAGGGAGAAGCAGACTCCCTGCTGAGCAGGGAGCCCTACTCAGGGCTTGATCCCAGGACCCCGGGATCACGACCTGAGCTGAATGCAGATGCTTAACTGACTGAGCCACCAAGGCGCCCTGTAATTACTTTTTACAATCAAGAATAAACTCCAAATATCGAAATAGAGACTGAGAACAAACAGGAGTTGTACAAAATCATAAAAAAATTGTTCTACCAAAAAAGGGCAGTGCAAACATTCCTTCGGTATCAGATGGGAGATAGGGGAAACATACCTTTCATTCATATGACAAAGAGAGAAACAGTTCTTAAGATTAAAGGTCAGTTAAAGACTGGACAAGTAACTGGATAAAACATGTTACTGACTCAGTAAATGCATTTACAATATTTTAAATTCTAATTATACCTATAACATTGTTCCTAAAATAGACAACTACTCTTACTCAGTTAAAAAACCTGAGATTACTTTTGAACCAGTGGAATCCAAAACTGTGAAAAAGAAAGCCGAGCTGAGCTTCAGTGCAGAATGCTTTACTTATTTTTCCATAGCACTGTCATCGACTCATTTGATAGCATCTTTAATTTCCCTGCCTAAAGGTCTTCCAGTGGATATACGAATTCCCCCTTCAATGCAGAGAGATTTGAATGGATGCACCAGCAAGAACTGATGAAAACATAAGAGTCTCTGCCAATTGAAATGAACCTTCCCTTCTTCTCAGGTGTCCTTCTAGAGAGTCCTTCTTAGGTTTCCCACATCTGACCAGCCGCCCCCTCCCAGCACACAGAGCACACTGCCTTCATTGCGGTAGACTCCCACATCCTATGTTCTAATTGTATGAGGTACTGGCATGTTTCTCCCACCAGACCATGAGCAAGGATTAATAATTTATGAGGCAAAATGCAATGGCTTGCTTAAAAATAAAAACTTTTGGGGGCACTGTATTATTTGAAAGGCAACACATTTACCAGTCAGTGATATGTTATGACTCCCCAAGGAAAGGTTAGAATATTTTGTCATCATTTCTTCTCGGATGGGTAGACTTGTAAGAGGTGAAGCTGTAAGAAAAAGAAATGTGATTGCATATTATTATCAAGATGAAATGACTACAAGCTAGTTTGTAGCAGCTGAAATGCTATATTGTATACTATGTGAAAAATAAGTTTTCAGGAAGCTCTGAGGAGCTAGATCTCATACATTCACAGATATTCAGATATATATTGGGCTATTATATGCGACCACATTTCCAACTTTTTCTGTGTTCTTTTCTTTACTGAAAAATCCCTGATTTACATCAAGTAGCTTAAAAAAATTATTTTGTTATCCTACCATTTGTAGTTTCTTTATAAAACATAGATGAAGACACTGAAGAATTAAATAAGAGTGCCAGGAAAAAGACAGACATGAAGAGGCAGAAAGAAGGTGAGTGAACCAAGAGAGACAGAGAGACCATAATAAAGGGCATAAAATGGGGAGAGAGAAGAGAAAATGGCTGTACAGTGAGAGTTTCTGCTGTTTTCCAGCTACAGTTACAGACTGGGTCACCCTCTACCAAACTGACTTGTGGTTCTCCTCTGTCGCCTCTCTCATCTTTTCAAAACCTTTACTGAAAAAAAAAAAAAGTTTCTATTTCCTCCCTCCCACTCTCCTCAAAGCTGCTGCTGCTGCTGCTGCTGCTGCTTCTTTTTTTTTCTTTTTGTACACTGGCTACTGTTCTTTGACTGTGGGGCACCAGAACCTACCTCCCATAAAAACCACCCCAACTCTATCAAATAAGTCAGAAAAGGGGAAAAGGCTTATAACTGCAGTCTTGGCTGCATTCTTAAAACTTCTCATTCTCATTCAGTTAAATTAAACCCGAGCCTTTTTTATTTCACTTTCTTAATACTCTGCTCAGAAACCTACTCCTAGTCCAAAATTAGATTTCCAGTTCTTTTCTTATGTGTATGAAAAATATCAAAGTTAGTGATCACCTTTGTTGCCTCAGCTTATGCGAAGCTTTTACAATATTGCCTAATAAAAATATCTACCTAGCAGAACCTCGCTCTCCAGTAAGCTGTGTTCCAAAGGCTTGATCACTTCTAAAGCAGCTTTGGAAGGTGGAGGGCACTTTCTCATAAAGTAATCCTTTAATGAATTTAATATGTAAATCACTGCACCCTCTGACAGTGATTACACAGGAAAATATGCCCTGAGTTTCTCACTGGGCTATCAAGAATACAAAACATTTCTTCCACTCACATCTAATATTCATTCATTCATATTCTTTCTGTCTCCATCTCTCTCTGTCTCTGTCTCTCTCTCTCTCTCTCACACACACACACACACATACATATACACACAGCCAAAAAGGTTCCTATCAACATTCTTTTTCTAATGAAAAAATTGTTTTTCCATTCTTGGGCATAGCTCACTTAGAGGTTGTATTTAAGAGGAACTATCTCAGGAAGATGAAAGCAGATGCTATTGACTTACGGATAGGAAGCCAGGAGGGTGCGGACGGGAAGGAATGAACTGTTCTATATCATCCGTTCTGTGAAACTTGTAAAACATAAGCTTTGATATCTTTGTTTCTTGCTAAGGAGTTCTCTTTTCTTGGCCTAGCCTCCTGCAGAGCTGAATATAATTGTAAAGGTTCTCATCACACTCTTTATCCCTAAAACAAGCCCATAATCCTTCAAGATGGTCTAATATCATTTATTCATATTAGTAGTAGTAGTATTCACACTATCATCAGCAATAAGAAAGTGACATAAGCTGGGAAAAGGTGCTTTATTCCTTCTTCTTATTTTATTTAAATAAGTGAATATAGAGAGAGCATCTGATACATGCTTGATGCTGGTAAGGAGTATGAAGCTGAGTAAACTTGGTCCCTACAGGGCCACATGGATCATAATAGTATCGATTTAGGCCCACAATTTGTAACTGAAAGTCATTAAAATTTCAGAGTGCCACCCATTCACAGTATTGACTATAACTAGCCCGTGTATTTTCCAACTTGGCAGGTGAGCAGTAGAAGATGAAGCCTGATTTACATCTTTTTTTTTTTAAGATTTTATTTATGTATTTGACAGAGAGAGACAGTGAGAGAGGGAACACAAGCAGGGGGAGTGGGAGAGGGAGAAGCAGACTACCCGTGCAGCAGGGAGCCCAATGCGGGACTGGATCCCAGGACCCTGGAATCATGACCTGAGCTGAAGGCAGATGCTTAACAACCGAGCCACCCAAGCGCCCCGATTTACATCTTTGAGAGACTCTGGAGGTGGAACAGAGGTGGAGACAATGTCACAGAGATGAGCTCAGGGGCTGGTGTTATTTTGCCATTTCTCAATATCAGGACTGGATGGGAGAGCCTACTTGTATTAGGAGAAGAGAAGAGCAGTCCAGACTTGGCCTGGACAAAATCTAAGCTTACAGAAGCTGACGGAATAGGAGGGAAAAGAAAAGCCAAGCTTCAAGAGAAGGGAAGTTTGGGTAGCTCCAGAATATACTAGATGTTATGACCACTTCCCACCGCCAGTCCATATATTAAAAATACAGACATCCATAAACCAGCCACCACCTGTCCCCTAACTTCATATCCCCTCTAAAGCATTTATCTTGATCAGGCTCCAGATTCCACTGAACAAGCCCCAAGTGCAAAAGAACATGTGTCACTCTTGTGATATTTTGCCTTCGGGAAAAGTCCCTTCAAGAGGCAATGTACACAAATGTCTCGAGTAGAAAAAGCAGGGCCATCTATGAAAGGTACTAGAATAGTAAAAGTGAGTTCTTTGCTTGGCCAAGATATCTATCTATCTATCTATCTATCTATCTATAGATAGATAGATAGATATTTTTTTTAATCACAGAAGTGGGAATGTAAACTTTATTGCTTCCGTAGGAAGACAACTGACAGGAGGTGAAGATTGGTGTTTAAAAGGAAATTGGCAGGGGCGCCTGGGTGGCTCAGTCCTTAAGCATCTGCCTTTGGCTCAGGTCATGATCCCAGGGTCCTGGGATCAAGTCCCACATCGGGCTCCCTGCTCGGCGGGAAGCCTGCTTCTCCCTCTCCCACTCTCCCTGCTTGTGTTCCCTCTCTCGCTGTCTCTCTCTCTGTTAAAAAATAAATTAAAAATCTTTAAAATAAATAAATAAATAAATAAATAAAAGGAAATTGGCAAGAGAGTCAGGCAGATGTGGTTTGAACACGTCCCCAAAAGGATTAGGCTGTCATGAAAAGAAACACAAAATGGAGAGGCAGGACTTTGGGATCCTAATCCAAGTTCCGCCTGTCTTGTTACTCGGGGTTTCATTTCATGGAGAAGAGAGGGAGGATCAGTAGAGTCTAAGACTGAGTGATGGTGCCAAGATCATAGCATACATTCCTCAAGTTATCACGCTCACCCCTCTCTTAATCATTGCAGGAAACTTTCCACCCAGCCTTCTCTTACAGTCAGTGGCAAAATTGCCACATAAAAAGAGTAACATCTAATAGTTTTTCTAAAGATTAAAGATTTTCCTCCCTCTGCAGGGGCGATGGGGCATGAGGATGTTGCATCAAAGAGCTGAATAACAACCTAATTTTCACCTATTACTAGTTCATGTGAAATAGCAAAATGGTCTCTACTTAAATATCTTTCACATACTACATCTTAAAATAGACATTGCTAGATGGGTTTATAATTTATGCTATTAACATTTTTAAAAGAAATAAACATGCTATAATTTCTACTTAAAATATTAATGTAACATTTTTACATATTTAATTCTGGAGCTCCCTTTTAATTGAAGTAAATTGGGAAGAAAGAAAAGAGGGTGAGTAACACTAGAACACTGCCTTGGGTCTTCAGATTTGCTTTTCTCTAAATGGGAAAATAAGTTCAATCATACCTCTGTTTAAGAATAAGCATTTTCTCTAAATTCCCCCCAAACATCTTTATTATATTTTATGATCTTGGAAGGGTCTAGACTTCATTTAGAGAAAGGTGTAAGTAAAAGCTATTATTAGGATAAATATCACTCTCTCTCTTTTCCTCTCTCCCCCATATAATGCCCTGATTGCTATCAATATGCAGAATTAACAATGTTTTTAACAAATCTTAATTTTAGCATTCTGATACACAGTATTATAAATGTGCAGCCCAATTACAAAAACACTGTAACTTAGGAGTGGATAATATATACTACTTAGAAAACAGAGGTTTGGAATTCAGAATATATTTCCTCATGGAAGCAATGCTATATATAACCACAGGATCCCATGCCAAATTGTAAAAGTGATTTAAGCCATGATACGGCTAAACTATGGCATTAAAATATCTAAGTACAAATATTTCTAATAAACAGTGCTTTTAGAGTTCTACTTCTGGAATCTAGAAATACAGTATTCCTATCCTGTCTGTAATGGCAATAGTAGAAAGAAGAGAAGGGAAGAATGAGGCTATCTTGATTCCCAGACACTATAATCCACAGAGAGTTTGTCAAGAAAAGAGAAAAGAAGGCTTGGCAAGAAAATAAATTCCTGATGGGGACATTTGTAAGTCAGACTTTCTAAGTCAGGGACAGATTAAAAAAACAAACAGGAAGCTCATATTTTTTCTACATAGAATGAGAACCATTGGGCAAAATGGCCATTTTTAGGGGCGCCTGGGTGGCTCAGTCGGTTAAGCGTCCAACTCTTGATTTCGGCTCAGGTCATGATCTCAGGGTTGTGAGATCGAGCCCTGCGTTGGGCTCTGTGCTGAGCATGGAGCCTGCTTAAGATTCTCCCTCTCCCTCCCTCTCTGCCCCGCCCCCCACTCCACTTGAGCACATGCATACACACTCTCTCTTAAAAAAAAAAAAAAGGGCCATTTTTAGACCAACAACAAAAAAACCTGAAGAACAATTAAAAAGCCTAATAACAAGAACAGTGTGCACTTTTACAAAGCCTTGTAAAACTGGTTTTAAACCTTGGTCATACTGAAATATAAACAAATTGATCTTTTTTTTGAAATAGGATTATTGCAATAAAATACATTTCAAAGGATGGTATAAAAACTCTTGTTTCAAACTACCTCCAAACGGTCATTAAGATATGCTAACAGTGAATCTTAGGCCAAATAAAACTTTTTTTTTAAGATTTTATTTATTTATTTGACACAGAAAGAGAGAGAGAGAGGGAGAGAGCACAAGCAGAGGGAGTGGCAGGCAGAGGGAAAAAGCAGGCTCCCCACTGAGCAGGGAGCCCGATGCAGGACTCGATCCCAGGACTCTGGGATCATGACCTGAGCCGAAGTCAGCTGCTTAACCGACTGAGCCACCCAGGTGCCTTGCCAAATAAAACTCTTAAAAAATAAAACCCCAAAGGTCTGACTAGGAATCCTGCTCTTTCTGAAGACTGTGGGTTTTTCAAATGTTTCACCCACTAGATTATTCTTTGATAAGACTTAGATTCTGTTCAGTGGTTCTCAACTGGGGCTGACTTTTGCCCCATGGGACATTTAGCAATGTCCGGAGGCATGTGAATGTCACAACTTGGAGAAGGTTACTACTTGTATCTAATAGGTTACAGCCGTTTCCTAGGGCTGCCAGAAAAAAAATTACCACAAATGTGGCAGCTTAAAACAACAGAAGTTTATTCTCTCATAGTTCTGGAGGCTAGAAGCCCGAAATCAAGGTGCAGGGTTTTGCCCCCTCTGAAGGCTCTGGGGAAGAATCCCTCCTTGCCTCTTCTAGCTTTGGTGGGTGCCAGCAACCCTCGGCATCCTGTGGCTTGTAGCTGCATGGCTCCTGTGTCTGGCTCCATCTTCACTCTGAGTGTGTCTGTCTCTGTATCCAAATCTCCCTCTCATTTCTTTCATAAAGACCACAGTCATTGGGTTAAGGGTCTATCCTAATCTAGTATGACCTCATTTTAACTTGATTACATCTGCAAAGACCTTCCTCTCAAATAATCACTTTCGTGGGTACACACAGTCAGGACTCGAACATAACTTTTTTGGAAACACAACGCACCCACTACATAGGAGAGGCCAGAGATGCTGCGAAGCATTCTGCAATGACAATCCCCCACGACAGAGAATTATCCAGCCCCAAGTGTCAATAATGCCAAAGTTGAGAAACCCTGATTTCAAAGCAGGTACATCCTCAACTCTGATTCTTCA